AAGAGAGTTCCAATGCCCATACTACGTTTTTTGAATTCTGTCGGATTCACCCAAAGTTACAAATTTGATTTTTAGTAATGTTCTAAAGACCTTTTAAAGAAAATTACTAAAACCAACGACTTTTAAAAGAGCCTTCTACAAAGAGGAGCTCAAAGATTTCTAGGAAACGTCCTAGGAAAACTCCTTTCAGACTCCTAATCATTCTTAAAAGTGTCCAATCGAAAGACCCCCACGAAGATTTCTATCATATAGTTTGTATTATAGAAAGTTTAGGTAAAAGAACTCTACTGGAGATTAACGTTGGAGGAAATTGATTATAAAGTAGTTTTCAAAGTTTCCAAACGTGCACGAAGAAATATTAAGTTGACACTTTGCATTAATTGATAGAAACCCCCTCGCGTGTGTAGCACCATTAGCGCCCCTTTCGGCCATTACATTAGAGCAGTGGCACGCAATGCTCCAAGGAAAGGTATACCGATAAAGGTAGGCGACGTTCGCGAGCGAAGTTTTAAAAAAAAAGTGTCATTAAGTTTCAAATTGGCCAAATTCCATTCATTAAAATTTCACGCGTACATCCCTCCGTGCGTACCTACGCTATTCGGCCACGAAACGAATAAATTTACCGCAATTTATGTAAGGCGTCGGGAACTAAAGATCAAATTAAACACGGAAAAGCTCGGGGGAACGTAATTGCGCGCAAAATGCTACTATTTTAAATTCCAAATTCGCGTCGCTATAACTTCAATTTGTGATCGTAATCTGATATCGCAGAATTCGAACGTGCTTGAATGCGATTTTCACCTTTTTCACTTCGGTGCGCGACGAAAGCCCGAGCTATATACATTTTTGTCACAACGAGATTAAATATGTGCCCGTTGGGTATATGAGAATTTATCTATGGCGCTTCCTTCGCAAGTTGGTTTTTTTGTGCATCTTACAAGGGCTCGAGCGAGAAAAAGTTACAAATTTAGATTTAATGATTACAAAAACGTTGCTGCCCTTCTTATAAAAAACTTCGTGGAATTTGTAAAATGTTCGGCGGAACACTTAATACGGGCGAGGTCGATAAAGTTAGCACCCCAACTTTGCCAAGAATTTTCTAGCTGATAGTTCGCACATTATATTCTCCTGATACAAAATTTGTAACGAAATTCGGTTTGGAAATACGTTTGTGGGTAATGAAAAAAGACCTCCTCAACCGTCATCTTCTCCTGATTAGACAAAATTTGGATTAGGAGCTGAATCACCTCTTCGCACATTATACTCTCCTGATACAAAATTTGTAAAAATTTAAAACGAAATTTTGCTTGGAAAAATGTTACAAGAATTTTCTTAATGACAGTTCGTGTATTAGGAGCTGAAACACCTCCTCACACATTTTATTCTCCTGATACAAAATTTGTAAAGATTGAAATCGAAATTTGGTTTAAGTTTGTGGGTAATGGGAAAAGACCTCCTAAGCCATCATGTTCTCCTGGTAGCCAGATAGAATTTTACAAGAATTTTCGGAGTGAATTTGTAAAAATTTAACACGCAATTTGGCTTTAAAATGTGAACGTGGGTGGGGAAAAAGAAGTACTTAACCATCATATTCTCCTGGTAGGTAGACAAATTTTACAAGAATTTTCTGAGTGACAGATCGTGTACTAGGAGCTTACATTCTTCTGATACAAAATTTGTAAAAAATTTAACAGGAAATTTGACTTCAAAATGTGTTTGTGGGTGATGGAAAAAGACCTACTCACCCATCATGTACTCCTGGTAGCTAGACAACATTTTACAAGAATGTTTTGAGTGACAGTTCGTGTATTAAGAGCTGAAACACCTCCTCGCACATTATATTCTCCTGATGAAAAAATGGGTAAATATTTAAAACGAAATTTGGCTTTAAAATGTGTTTGTGGGTGATGGGAAAAGACCTCCTCAACCATCATGTCCTTCTGGTAGCTAGACAAAATTTTACAATAATTTTCGGGGTGAAATTCTAAAAATTTAACACATAATTTGGCTTTAAAATGTGTTTGTGGGTGATGGAAAAAGACCTACTCAACCATCATGTTCTCCTGGTAGCTAATTTTACAAGAATGTTCTGAGTGACAGTTCGTGTATTAGAAGCTGAAACACCTCCTCGCACATTATATTTTCCTGATGCAAAATTTGTAAAGATTTGAAACGAAATTTGGCTTTGAAATATGTTTGTGGGTAATGGGAAAAGACCTCCTCAACCAACATGCTCTTCTGGTAGCCGGACAAAATTTTACATTAATTTTCGGGGTGAATTTGTAAAAATGTAACACGAAGTGTGGCTTAAAATGTGTTTGTGGGTGAGATCTACTTAACCAACATATTCTCCTAGTAGGCAGACAAATTTTACAAGAATGTTCTGAGTGACAGTTCGGGTATTGAAACTGAAACACCTCCTCGCACATTATATTTTCCTGATACAAATTTGTAAAAATTTAAAACGAAATTTGGGTTTGAAATAATATGTTTATGTGTAATTGAAAAATACCTCAACCATCATATTCTCATGGTAGCCAGACAAATTTTACAAGAATTTTTTAACTGATAGTTCGTGTATTAGGAGCTGAAACACCTCCTCGCACATTATATTCTTCTGATACAAAATTTGTAAAAATTTAACACGAAATTTGACTTTAAAATGTGTTTGTGGGTGATGGAAAAAGACCTACTCACTCATCATGTACTCCTGGTAGTTAGACAAAATTTTACAAGAAAATGTTGAGTGATAGTTCGTGTATTAGGAGCTGAAACACCTCCTCGCACATTATATTCTCCTGATGCAAAATTTGTAAAGATTTAAAACGAAATTTGGCTTTAAAATGTGTTTGTGGGTGATGGGAAAAGACCTCCTCAACCATCCTGTTCTTCTGGTAGCCAGACAAAATTTTACAAAAATTTTCTGAGTGAATTTTTAAAAATTTAACAGAAAATTTGGCTTTCAAATGTGTTTGTGGGTGATGGAAAAAGACCTACTTACCCATCATGTAGTCCTGGTAGCTAGTCAAAATTTTACAAGAATCTTTTGAGTGACAGTTCGTGTATTAGGAGCTGAAACACCTCCTCGCTCATTATATTTTCCTGATGCAAAATTTGTAATGATTTGAAACGAAATTTGGCTTTGAAATATGTTTGTGGGTAATGGGAAAAGACCTCCTCAACCATCATGTGCTTCTGGTAGGCAGACTACAAAAACTGGACGTCGCTGCCCGGCCCCGTTGAATTTGTAAAACGTTCGGTGGAACACTTAATACGGGTGAGGTCGATAAAGTTGGCACTCCAATTTTCCAAACATTTTCTGATAGTTCTTTCGATAGTTCGCAGATTATATTCTCCTGATACAAAATTTGTAAAGATTTAAATCGAAATTTGGCTTAAGTTTGTGGGTAATGGAAAAAGACCTTTTCCTGGTAGCTAGACAAAATTGTACAAGAATGTTCTAAGTGGCAGTTCGTGTATTAGGAGCTGAAACTCCTCCTCGCATATTATATTCTCCTGATACGAAATTTGTAAAGATTTAAAAAGAAATTCGGTTTTCAAATACATTTGTTGGTAATGGGAAAAGGCCTCCTCAACCATCATGTTCTTCTGGTAGCCAGATAAATTTCACAAGGATTTTTTAACTGATACTTCGTATAGTAGAAGCTGAAACACCTCCTCGCACACTATTTTCTTCTGATACAAAATTTGTAAAGATTTAAAACGCAATTTGGCTTTGAAATCTGTTTGTGGGTAATGGGAAAAGATCTCCTTAGCCATCATGTTCTTCTGGTAACCAAACAAAATTTTACAAGAGTGTTCTAATTGGCGCTTCGTGTATTATGAGCTGAAACACCTCCTCGCACATTATTTATTTATTTGTTTAGCCAGATACCATACAGAATGCAATTATTCCAATTACATGACACTGGGATGCTGTACCTAAGCTAAAACTTGTACAGTAATTACGATCTAATATGGCTAATTAATTCATTCAAAGTGCCGTGAAATATATCGATGTCTTTCTCACGGCACTTCTTATTTAAAACCAACAGGCTCCTCGATAGTGGCGATGACGGAGTGGTCACTACAAAGATGATATCGTTTTTCCTTAATTTAACATGTGGCACTTTGAGTTTAATTTCCTGAAGCAATTCTGGGGCATTTTGGTGATTATTCCGTATCTTGTACACATTATAACCTCCTGATACCAAATTTGTATACATTTAAAATGAAATTTGGCTTTGAAATATGTTTGTGGGTAATGTGAAAAGACCTCCTCAGCCATCATGTTCTCCTGGTAGCCAGACAAAATGTAACAAAAATTTTTTAACTGATAGTTCGTGTATTAGGAGCTGAAACACCACCTAGCACATTATATTCTCCCGATACAAAATTTGTAAAGATTTATGTCGAAATTTGAGTGGGTGATGGGAAAAGACCTCCTCAGTCCTCAACCATCATGTTCTCGTGGTAGCCAGACAAAATTTTACAAGAATTTTCTGACTGACAGTTCGTGTATTAGGAGCTGAAACACCTCCTCTCATTTTATATTCTCCTGAGACAAAATTTTTAAAAGTTTAAAGCGAAACTCGGCGAAATACGTTTGTGGGTAATGTGAAAAGACCTCAACCATCATGTTCTCCTGTTCGAAACTTTCAATCGATTTTGTACGGCAAACTATACACTTTGCATTACTGGAAAAATGTTTTGTGCTATATATTTTGCATTGTAAAGAGTTTTCCGGTGGTGCATTAACGGTTTTATAGTTCGACACAGCAAAAAATCCGTTTTAAAACAAATTCAAACTCACCCTTGCCTTGTGAGGGGTAGTTTTCAGCGGGATCGGTTCTTATCCTTGGTGTTGCATGACTTGACTTTTCCTCGACAGAAGTTGCATAGGCCAGCGATTAACAAATTTCTAATTTCACCACTAATTGCAGTTGCTGAACTCGTCCTCTCGATAACGTTATTGAGTTGCAATTTGACAAACTTTTCAGTTAAGTAGCGGAAAAATGGAAATTTCTGTTATAAACGAATGAAACTGCAGAAACAACCAAAAGCAATAATAAATAAAGTGCTGATATAAAAAAGCAATAAAAAGCGTTTATCAAAAATATAAATTACCTCAAAAAAAATCTATCTCCGCGCTGAAATAAAAAAATTTATGGACATGCTCTAATACTAAATTAAGTTAATAAAAAAGAAGTTATATCATCGTCATGGCGTTCGCGGCGGCCCGTATGATCCTCAAGGATAAAAGAAGGAAACCCTCAAAGGAAGACTTCACACGAAACCGAAGCAAGGTAAAATTTTTCATTATTATGCGTTTTATATTTTTTCCGGCTTTCATTCGAAGAGAAGTGGGTTTTTGTATCAGCCCTTATTAATGTGTTTTCAGCCGTGACTTACGGTGCGAGATATATTGCGCCGCGCGAATAAAAATCGCTATCTAACGCAATTTATATTCGCGTAAAGTCAAATTTTCTACTCGAAAAAAGTGTAGCTTTCGGTTTATCTCCTCATCGATGAACAAAATGTCGATTGTGCCGCATTTGCGACTGTGTTTATGGAGCGCAAATTTTGAAGTTATTTGTGTGAAATTAGCATCTGTTTCATTGAAGTTTTCTCTAAAAAGCTCTAAATACAAAACCAGGGAGCTAATTCCAGGTGGTTCTAAATCGCAAAAGGTCTCTTGAATAGTCTTTAATCGTTGGAGAGAAGATTCTACTACACACGTTGTCTTTCCTACCAGAACAAAGGACCCCCTCAACCATCATGTTCTTCTGGTAGCCAGACAACATTTTACATGAATTTTTTAAGTGACAGTTCGAGTATTAAGAGCTGTCACTTTCTCGTACATTATATTCTCTTGATGCAACATTTGTAAAGATAAAATTTGGATTTTAAATATGTTTGTGGGTAATGGGAAAAGACCTCCTCAACAATCATGTTCTCCTGGTAGTCAGACAACATTTGAAAAAAGTTGTCTGACTGACAGTTCATGTATTAGGATCTGAAACTCCTCCTCGCGCATTATATTCTCCTGATACAAAATTTGTAAAGCTTTATAGTGAAATTCGATTATGAAATAGGTTTGTGGGTAATGGGAAAAGACCTCTTCAACCATCATGTTATCCTGGTAGCCAGACAAAATTTTACAAGAATTTTTTACCTGATAGTTCGTGCATTAGAAGCTGAAACACCTCCTCTGACATTATATACAAAGTTTGTAAGGATTTAAAACGAAATTTGGCTTTGAAATGTGTTGTTGCGTGATGGCCTAGCCCCTCTCATTAGGGAAAGAGTATTCAAATTTTCTTTCGTGAGCTGGGGAGCATTGGCTGGGGGGTTTTCCATACCCCCCAGACCCCCCGGTATTGCATTTCCCTCCAAAACTGACTACCTGATCGCTTTCATTTCAGTTTTCAGTAAAAAGCCAGCGAACGTAGCACTAGGGGGTTGCGTATATTAGGAGCTGAAACACCTCCTCGCACATTATATTCTCCTGATGCAAAATTTGTAAAGATTTAATACGAAATTTGGCTTTGAAATGTGTAGGTGGGTGATGGCCTGGCCCCTCTCATTAGGGGTAATCAAATGTTCTTTGGTGAGCTGGGGAGCATTGGCTGGGGGGTATTCCATACCCCACACAACCCCCGGTATTGTATTTTAGTCCAAAACTGACTACCTGACCACTTTCATTTCAGTATTCGGTAAAAAGCCAGCGAACGTAGCACTGGGGGGTTTGCACTTCGTATACTAGGAGCTGAAACACCTCCTCGCACATTATATTCTCCTGATAGAAAATGTGTAAAGATTTAAAACGAAATTTGACTTTGAGATGTGTTGGTGGGTGATGGCCTGGCCCCTCTCATTAGGGAAAGTATAATCAAATTCTCTTTCGTGAGCTGGGGAGTATTGGCTGGGGGGTATTCCATACCCCCCCGACCCCCCGGTATTAAATTTCCCAGCAAAACTGACTACCTGACCACTTTCATTTCAGTTTTCGGAAAAACGCCATCGAACGTAACAGCGTGGTCTCTGGGGGGCATGGAATAAAGGATTCTAAGAAAATTGAGTAGGTTCTGTGGGGTCTTCGAGCAAACGGTTCTGAAAAAGCTCTAAAATTTCCTTAGGGTTCTTAAAACCCTCAATATCGCAGAAAATCTCTTAAGATCTTTTATTTATGTTTAACCTTAAATACTACTGACTCTTTAACGCGATTAGGGACATGTAAAAATTCTGAAGAACCCCAAAGGCTTCTCGATTTTCTGATTATGGCACTCTTAAAAATTACTAAAAGCTTTGAGGATTCAAAAAGCCCTTCTAAAAACCACTAAAAGATGTAGAACCTTTGAACTCTTGTCGAAAAAACATTTCGTGGATTATGAAAGGTTTTTAATACTTTTAAATATTAATGAAGGCTCTTAAAAGGCCTATAAAGGCTTTCTACTGTTAGAAAACGCACTTTGGAATGGAGACTCTTGGCAGTTTTCCTATTCTTCTATGTGTGTATAAACTCTTAACTGCTTTAGAAGATTCTTAAATGTTGTTAAAGTTGCTAAAATACCAACAAAGTCACTTAAGACCTTAAATCATAAAAGTAAATTTGGGAAATATTTTTGAAACCATCAAACTAGCTTTCAATACTTCTAATTGAACAGATTTTTTAAGTTATTAAAATGGAATCATGTATCTCGAGCCTCAAAAAGTAGCAGTTTAATAGATTATAAAACTCCAAAGTCATATAGGACATTTTTTGCTATTTTTCTGCTCGTCTGTCTGTCCATTTACTTCATGATTTTTGCATTCTGTACCTTAAGAATCTGGCTGACCCCCAGCCAATACTCCCCAGCATACGCAGACGTTAATTATAATGATGATTGTAGGGAAAGCGGCATGGAATTTTCTGTTTACTGGGAGATATTAAGTGTTAACCAAGAAAGTAGTTTGTTGAATACATGAAATCCTTTCGAGTGATGTAAGGAAATTTTCAAAAACAGGATTTTAAAATCCTACATCGATGCATTGTAATTAGGAATCCCAACCTTTGGGTTTCTAGAGTCCTACATGCTTTCAATCCAAGGCTCTATGTGGATTTCAATGATGAAGTGCTTGCATACAAAGCTTGATCCCCTAAAAATCGCAATGTAATTTTCTGTGTCTCTGTGTAAAATTTTTCTGCCTATTTGTCTTTGCTGAACTGTAATACAACATTGAGAGATCAATTTTAACTTATATTGGCTTAATTAAAAGGTACTTAGTTTAAGAGCTCAACTGAAATCGTGGCACTAAAGTATTTACATGGCATTATATTCATTTTCTGGCAATGGAGCCTTAAAAAAATGTCTCCCTAATTAAAGTGATTATGGTTCCACTAATGCTCAGTTACGTAAAAGCCGATTAAATAGGGCATTTGCGAGCTCTAATTACGTATAAAAAATTTAAATTTTAAAACGTCGTATAATGAACTGGGGGTTACTCGTCGCGGCATTGCACGCGGGGGGGGGGGGGGGGTCATTACGTCCTTTTAAATAGAAGGGAAGCATATTAGAAATTGTAATAGGTTGAGTTTTTAATTGTTTCTCGCTAAGGATCGAAGAAAAGGTTTATTGTCTAGCAGTTTCCGTACTTTAAGGGTGTACCAACTAACACCTTTTCTTCCTTTGTCGTTAAAAACAGAAGGTATAGTTCGATCTTGTTATAGACTTAAAAACGGGTCCGTTAACTTGGCCCCCCCACTGAGAGATTTGATAGTCGTATTATTTTGAAATGAATGCGCTCGTTATGCGCTCATATGCGCCACCGATAATAACTCTTGCGCCATTATCGTTTTTTAGAAATCCGAAAAAACATTTGGGGGGGGCAAGTGAACGTAGCCCCCCCCCCCCAGTACGTATTTTGTCCCTTGTAACTAGGTCACCTGATACATTTGGTTATGCGCTCAATTGCGCCACTTGAATTGCGCCACTTGAATTAAAGCTAGCGCCATTACGGTTAAGCCGTGACAAATTTTCAAAAAGTGGGGGGGCCAACTTAACGTTTTTAAAAGTTACTTTTTTTTAACATCTTTTCATACGAAATTGTACTCTCAGGTATGCGCTGAAATGCGCCGTAAAAAGATATCTTTGCGCCATTATTGTTTTTTGGTTATCCTTAAATATATTTGGGGGGGGGGGCAAGTGAACGGAATCCCCCATAACGCATTTTGCTACCGGTATTTGTGCCACTTGATACATCTGGTTATGAGCTCAATTGCGCCACTTGAATTAAAGCTAGCGCCATTACGGTTAAGCCATAAAAAATTTTTAAAAAGGGGGGGGGGCTAACTTAACGTTTTCAAAAGTTACGTTTTTTAACATGTTTTTTCTACTACATCGTACCTTTCATCATGCGCTAAAATGCGCCGTAAACAAAAATCTTGGCGCCATTATGGTGTTCCAGAAACACTATACAGGGTGTTTTTTTGGGAGCTTTAGTTAAACGATTCTGAGAAAGTAAAATAGGTAGGTTTTTAAAAATTTGTATTTAGGAGTTACTCCGAAGGCCGAATCGATGTAAAATATTTTCAAAATGGACGCACTTCCGGAAATAACTTTTAAAAACGCTAAGTTAGACCCTCCACTTTTTAAAAAATTTTTATGGCTTAACCGTAATGGCGCTAGCTTTAATTCAAGTGGCGCAATTGAGCGCATAACCAAATGTATCAGGTGACCTAGTTACAAGGGACAAAATACGTACTGGGGGGGGCTACGTTCACTTGCCCCCCCCCCAATGTTTTTTCGGATTTCTAAAAAACGATAATGGTGCAAGAGTTATTATCGGTGGCGCATATGAGCGCATAACGAGCGCATTCATTTCAAAATAATACGACTATCAAATCTCTCAGTGGGGGGGGGGGCCAAGTTAACGGACCCCTTAAAAACCTCCCACTAGACGTAGGTGTTACAAATCAGTATACCTTTTAATATCATTTACAATAATAATCATATTTATTATCATGGCATAGATTCAGCAAGACGTTTCTCCATCTACACCATGACAAACAAAGAATTTTTGGTATTTTTTGAACTCTGATTGGTGTTCTACAATCTTTAGGGAGAGCGGTAGAGGATTTTATCGTTCCTTTAGGAGCCACAACGCGTTAAAAAAAGGTTAACTCGCAGTTTTTTAGAGAAGTTGGAAAAAATGGGTGTTTTTTGATCGCTCGTAAAAATTTTTCTATTGGACCGATTTTGTTTGTTCATCTTTTGATCATTCTTTTAATTTACTGTGTTATTCATAAAATATTGACCGTTTTCGAGTTTTAAGCGAAAAACTGAAAAAAGTCCAAACATTTTGAGTTTTTATGGCTGGCAAAAGTTGTGCCGGGAAAAAAATGGCGCGCACTCTTCAAATACATGTTTATTTGGAGCCATTTAAAACAATAAAATCTTTTACGCCAGTTGGACCATAGAATCGAAATTATCCAAAAAGAAACCGAGACCCAAATACAGTTAGAAGATTTTTCAATATAGAATTTATACAGTGTGTATCAGAAGAAATTACGGTAACACTTGTAGAATCATGTTAGTTTATTTAGACGCATAAGTTACCCAAGTTTGAGTGGAAATCCCCGCAATTATCTTAAATTTTGGGGACATTTTCAAAAAATAGATTGTCTAAGATCGGTAACCTCTTATACTTAAGACAATCATGTATGAATCGGGATCATTAATTAGTAGAGGCATTTCTTGTAAATGATACGTGTTGGCAATATGGTGACGTGTTGCGGTACGGTAATCAAGGGGAGTGGTAGCGGGTTGTAAGAGGAGCGCGTGGAAAAGCGACAACAGTAACGACCGGATCGCCTTACGTGTTACTTATATTTTCGGCTAATTAATTTAAACTAAAGAGTGATATAAGTGGTTGAATCAAACGTGTCGTGCGCATATAAAAAAACGGCCGGTTAGTCGTAGTTACAGTGAACTCTAGTGACCTGTACTAAAGACAGTAAACGAAAACACAACTGTATTTCGACCAGCGATACATGTAGTGACAGCAGTACGAGTACGTCATCAAATAAAAGCCGTAAGTCGAAATCTAAACGTATATCTGGATGTGTTAAATCAAATAAAAGCTCGAATACACGTTTGGAGCCAAATTCTCCTCCCACATCTTTTCAGCCCAGAAATGTTGAACCTTTCCGGAATTTGGTCCATTATTGGGGCAAATTAATCAATGGATCGAAATTATCGAATACAATATGAAGAATTATGGCTGCCCGATAATTACATTGTATATCAGGTAATGTCTAAATTATTCATTATTCATTGAGACTGAACTAGCCTGGACAAAATATACGTCGTGGTTCACCTGCAAACCAGTTTCGTTCACAAATATTGACTGATTTAGCAAATCTAGTGCAGTCAAAACCGGAAGATACTAAATTTAATAAAATAACATGCATGTATTGTGGAATCCAAGGCCATTCGAAGAAAGTATGTCGACACAAGAACCTAATTTGCAGGTTCTGTAACACAAAGGGCCATTTAGAACGGAATTGCTTTAAAAAAAATTCGATGTTGCGCCTGGTGCAAATATTTACATAGTTTCCATAATAACAAACTAATTAAACAAATAAAATATGACTTTTCCGAAAATAAATTTAATAAAAATAATTTCGTCAATGAATTTATATGTACCGCATTCATTGATTATGGTCGCGATTGCTCGCTAACTTCGAGAGACATTGCCGAACGATTTCGTTTGGAAATTAAAAAGTTAGATAAAGAAGTTAAAGTTAGCAGGTTTTTGGGAAACTCTTTGACCGAAGTGAAGGCAGCTGCCCGAGATAGCAGCCAAAAATGCGCCATCGATCATTGGAGGATCTGCCTTAACCACAATAATTGATAGGTGATATTTCCCAAAAACAGATGGACGAAGTTACCATTTTAAGGTTCCTGAAGGTTCCAGAAAACGAATGGACCGATTTTAAAAAATCAAACGTCAAAATAAAGGACTTCGAAAGACCTTTCAAACAAGCTATTACACGATACCACTTTTCATTTAAAATTTTTAAGGGAATGACCCCGGGGGCAGAGGGTGAAATAGTTTTGGGTTAAAAACTTGTCCCCCTTGACGTGTCTCGGTGTTTTTTCCTTTAATCGGTGGTTTTCAACAAATCCGTGGTGGGAAGTGTTCAAATGAACACCATGTATATATTCATAGGTTATTAGAATTTTGGTTAGGGAAAAATGAGTTGCTTAAGTTAGTTTAGGTTTTCTTTTGATTAGGTTAGATCTTAGAAGTTTTCTATAAAGAAGACTGTTAATTTTTTCTTGAGTAAGGCGAGTTTAGATTAGGTTGTTTAAAATAGTCTGAGGTAGTTTGTTGTTTTTCTTATTTCATTAGTTTTCTTTACTTTTGTACATTTTCCCTGTGTAGGGGCGGGAGTAGTATAGCTACCAGTAGACTAACCCTACCGCAGATGACACTGCGTGTCATAAGAGGCGACTAATCAAAGACCCACCCCACCACAACTGTTTTCCCTATGCTAAAGTCCGTTTCCCAAATTTGTATTTTTGAAAATGTCTAGATAACCATGTGACAGTCTATTTTCTTTTAAATGTAGTATTTCGCTGTGAGGATTGAGCCCCGTATGGCAAAAGTCGTGTCAATGATCAGGTGGCTTTAAATCTTTGTTGCATTTTTGACGTTGGCTCCTTTTGTATCGAGATTCTGGGAGCCCTGCTAACGTCACAAGGGGACCACCGTAAAATTCGCGACCGGCGTCCCTATTCCACCAATCTGAAGCTTCTTATCTAAATCCACGCATTCGTAACGCTCCCACCATTTTGTATAAAGCCTTACATAATATACAATTTTACACATATATAAAACTACATCATCCACAAAACGCCTGTCCAACTAGCCCAAACGAATCAAAATTTAAACTTAGATTTTTAATAATTTCTTGCCTAAATTAGCAATTTGGAAGACCACTGAGGTCTCAATTTCCGAAAATTCAAAAGAATTTACTACGCAAATTCGGGTCGCACAATGGGTTCAAATAAACACACAATTATTTGATTGTAATTACAACAATTTATTCCGAGACATGGAAAATTAAAACATTATTCTTTTTTGGATATAATACTCCGCACGCAGACGGTCGATAATTAAAAATAAAAATTACTTAGTTGTTTTTCTCTTTTAATAATACTAATAGTCTGGTCCTTTGCGATATTCAGCCACACTTATCAAAGACACACAAAAACACTCGCTGACGGCTTCAGGAAACTTCATTTTGTCTTTAAACAAATTGGGATCAACAACTCAAACCAGCTTGATAAATAAGATGAATCATATTGACGGCATCTGCTCGGACGTTAGAAACAAACTTTTAATTCACTAAGCAGACAACTGCTTTGTTGATTCCCAGTTCGCACAAACCTTTAAAACTTCTCCTGACGATAATTGAAAGCTTTCATTAAGAGAGGTTAACTTCTTTCACGCACTTTTTCGAAACTGAGAAAAATTAAACGGGCAGAAATTACACGCTCTTTTCACCGTGATGCAATAACAACACCAGCCCCCTTTTTTACATTGTCTCGCGTATTTAAGGGAACACCACTTCCATCATAGAATAAATTTTCTTCCGCCGGCATTTACAAATAATGCCCAAATTAAAATAACGCCGGCTGAAAAGGAACACGTCCCCACTTACGCCTAAAATAATGCGCACACAGATGACTATGTGCATTACCGCCGTTAAGTCTTCAAACAACGATAAGAAAATACGCGCGTTAATTAGTTTCCGATAACAAAACTTTTTATCGCAAACAGAACCAAACGGAAACCAAAACCAAAAGGAAAAATAACACTGAGGCACAAACTCAAGCAAAATGAACCAACTTAGTGTTTATATTATACTAAAACTGAAACGTTTCTCATATACAGGGTGTCTCATTTTTATTTTTTGTGTTTGTATCGGAATAGCGTTTACAAGGCACATAACAATGTTTTGTGGGACGGTGCGTAGCGCAACTGGGAGACCACGCTTTTCAATTAGGATGACACAGGTCTCAACTCCTCAAGTAGGCCTGTTTTTTTTAAATAATAGCTCGTAGAAAGAAGGAACGAAGCATTGTTAGATAGAGAGAGAAGTAGTCACTTCTGTCGGCACTTACCCACTTTCGAAGTTTTTTTTAGTTACGTCTACTACATAAGTTTTTTTGGAATATGCGCGTTTCTGTAAGTTGTTTTTTTATTTCTGGATCTGATTGAACACTTCGGTTTTTGTTTCTTACATTGGGCTTTTCTCCTTTCTCGATTTCGTAAGATAAACTGCCCCTGCGACTTCCTCAGATCGAAGGTTACTTAACCCTCCTCATTTTACTAGGTTGCTTCGGTTACCTCGTTTTCTTTGTGACATCCTTCCATCGGAGGGGGGTGCTTGATGACCCGTCACCACCTCTATCCTCCAGAACCTGAACTTTAATATTTTTGTGTAGTGTGCCGGGAGTAGACAGCTGAGTTTCCACTACAGTTGTCAGGAAATATGACTTTTTAGACTTTTTTTTATCAATTTTAGGCTATTAATTTTTTAGATTAGGTAGCATGGCGAGCCCACCAAAGAAGCTCAAGAGTTTCCGAACGAACAGCGACCGAAGGTCGAAAAAGAGATTCTATAAGAGCGCAGAAATCGCTTACAAATTGGAGGCATCGCCTAACTTTTGGAAAAGCACCGTATCCTTTTCAAAAGTTACTTAATGCGAGTCAATCCTCAACTGTTACCAGTTCAGAAATCATCCGGAACTGTGTTCACTGCTGGAAGGACGCGCCGAGGACTGCTTTAACTACTTAACGCACGTCGTAGTGCACGATTTCAGTGGAAAGAGGTCGCGGTACGAACTGACGTTTCGCTTTAGACCAAATCCTTACTTTGAAAACGAAACCTTGAAAAAGAAAATTGATTTGGTAGAATCTTCGGGTAAGTTTTCCGACAATGTGCTGCCACTTTATTATCAATTAAGGTGGTGACGCGTCATCAAGCACCCCCATCCGGTGGAAGGATGGAATGGATCCCACAACTGCCAACAGTTCAGGACGAAAGCGGCACTTAGAGCAATATTCATTCTTCACGTGGTACAATGACAACTCTGATACGTCTCTAGATGCTTCTCACACGATTTGTATTGCGCTTTATGACTTGATGTTGGAGGTCGTGGTTTAATAAAGGATCCGATGAAAAACACAACCTCTTTATGTCGGGTTTTATATTTGAAGCAGCGACTCTTGAGTTAAATTTTATTTTGAAGCGACAACAAAAAGTCCTGCTTTGCAAAGATCAAATTTCTTTGGTTTTTCCTATCAGAGGACGTTTTGTTCAGAAATTTGAATTTCTTAGTCTTTCTTGTTCTGCCGCTAGAGGTCACCCTCTGTATTTTTCCTTATCTTTTGACCTTTCCTTGGTTTTTTGCGCTGCGGATCTCTTGTTGCTTGTTCCTTAGGGAAGATTTATTTTCACCCGCGATGTATTTCTCACTCGTGTTCTCTCCTTCTCTCCTCATTCTCTTTTCTTTCTGTCACTTCGTTGTTGTCTACTTGAGTATTGCTACCCACATAAGGTCATAAGGTAGACGGTTGTGGGATAAAATGTAACACCGGGGTGTGGAGGGTATGGAATATCCCCCCAATAAAAAGAAAATTCAATGACCCTTTCCCTACAATCACCATTACCACCATTAGACCATTCGTATGCTCGTGTAAATAAAGTTTTTCGATTACCTTTACTTAGAGTATCAGAACGAAGAGGATAACAATGAAAAGAAGATACAGAAACTAAAGAGAGAGGAACAAGATGGTGTTGAGAAAGAAAATGATAATCAGGCAGAAAATGAAGTAGAAGATATAGAAGAAAACAAGGAAGAGGGAAAGAAGAAATAATGGAAAACACAGTGAGAATAAGAGAAAAGGGATGCCAAATAGACATGACATGTAAAAGAATTTGACCTGAAAAGCAAGAAAGAAGAAAGACGACGAACAGAAAAAATGGAAAGACGAAAGTGTCGTCAGAAGAGGCACGGGAAACTAAGAATAATTGGCTAATATAAGAAAGGGACTCGAAGAAAAGAGTATCAGAACGAAGGGAATGGGAATAAAAATAAAAAGAGCAAAATAAAAGAAATACAGAAACTAAAGAGGAAGGGAACAAACAAAGCGGAAAATTATCGGAGAGGAAAGAAAGATGAATGGATAGCTAAGTGAGAAAGATGGTTCCCGCTAGCAAAAATGCAGAGTATGGAAACAAGTAGACTACATAAAAGGGAAAAATACAACATCTGAAGATGAGAAACAAAAGAAAGACAACAAAGAGGGTAGCACCGATACGTTTCAGCCGTTTGACCGACAGACCAACAGACAAAATCTCGAGATTTTATTTGATGCGGATTTCTGGTGCTTCAAAACACGTGTATTTCAGTAAAAAAAAGTGGGGGTTCATTTTTACGCCAATGCAATACTAACTTGCGGGTGGGAGAAATTGAAAGAAAGGAAATATCAGGGAATTAATCTATCTCTTATGACTGCCCAAACCGTTCGTTCGATTGCAATAACATTTTGGGAAATTGTTGGACGTATGCCCGCGAAGGTTTCTTCCTAATGCACTAAACATGGGCGAGGTGAGGTCGAGCTTATGTCTTATTCATCCGATTGTGATGAAACTATGTGGAATGGTTGGACGTTTCTGGTTTGGCAAATTTGAGGGAGGTGGGGCCGAAATCGAGCTTTTCTCCTCCGTGAGCGAAACAGCTGGGTGAGGTAGATCGTTTCATTTGAATTTGTTCTTTAATGTTGTTTTCTCCTTTTAGAAATTATATGAATGCGTAACTTTTGTTACGTTTTTTTTTGAGATGCAGATTTTACGAAGAATTTCGTGATTGGCTATTTATTTGAAAATTCATAAATAAGGAGTTTATTTTAGGGTGGAAGTGGTGTCTTTTTAAATACTGGAGTCAACGTAAAATATCAGGAAGCGAGGTATCAAGCCAGTTTTTTGTCATGTAGTGAAGTTCAGAAGCTGTCAGGGTTTATGTGGAAAAAATCTGTAAGTGGTTTTAATTGTCGACCGCCTGTGATCGGGGTAATATGTCCGAACAAGGTTTTCTTTCTTTCAAGGATTGTGTTTTAATTTTGTTTTAAATCTTTGTCATTGTCAATCAATTAATTGTGTGTTTATTCGAATTCAAAGGGCGACCCAGATAGAGATTTCATGCCAATTTTCTTCCATATTCATCAGTAGTGAAGGTTGTGCATTGTTATGACTAGTTTTGGGCAACAAATACAGTAAAATGACGTACAATAGAGACAAAGGAACTCGATTTGCTTAAAAATTTCCAAATTACTGTTATTAAAGTGTCACAGTGAAGTCATTGCTTTTCTAATCTACACATTCGTCCCTTTACGACCACTACCTTTATATCCTATCAATTGTTGGAGGAGAAAGCCTAAATAAATAATACCAGGGTCGTCTTTCCTAGCTTAAAATATTCAATAAAGACCTCGCTTGTAAGTTAAAGAGTCCACTTAAAGTGTCTAGTCCAATACTCTCACTTTACTCTGAAGTGTTGTGCCAGCAAACTTTAAATGTACAATGCACTCGCGCAATTACTGTGGAGAAGAGCCATCACGCAATGTTTCATGTTCCGTAAATACACAAAATAACGTCCCTAGAAGATTAAGTAACGTTTACCATGAATGCTTTATCATTACGAATTGTGTACAAAAAATCTAGCCCGCATTGAAATACATTTCGACCGAACGATTTGGCCCCTATATTGCGTTTCGGGCCTGTCAAGTGATTTAGCGAATTAGCCAATAAAACAAAACGTCCATTGTTATCGCGATTTTATATCGCATCGATCGGTCTTTTGGTTGGGCGATTTAAATTATTTATGGTTAGGTAGCCGTGCGTATTCGGCCCTTTTTCGCCCGTTGGATTATTTTGATAGATTGTATCGCGCGTATACCGTAGGGTGCTCTCGTGATCTTATCGTGAGGGCTCGAAACGTTGAAAAACAAGTCACGACATCTGTATGCCTACCCTCGATGGACGAGTTTAACATTGAGGAGTTCATGTATTATTTCGGTGTTGGTCTTTAAACTTTATTGTTCAATATACAACTAATTTCCTTCAGAAATAAGACTTCTAAGGCTAGCCGTGAAATTACTACCCTATTTGTTTTTAATGCTCTAGATTTTTCAAGAGCTTTTCTCGCAACTTTCCACCATTTAGCAATTTACAGAAGTGCCGTGTTTTATGTGCCAGCGTATCCTTAAGCTACGTGCTCAAAATGTAATAAATTACATCTTATTATTCAATTCGTGTCGTAGCAGATGTCGCAAAGTTGTCAGATAAGGTAATGAAGACCGTGATGCGTCACTACCTCACTTGATGTGATGTAAGTTAAAGTTGATGTACTATCTTCCCCAACTTTAAAGCGTTTAGGAATCGTAAATTAGCGCCACGATTCCTTTCCAGACTGCGCTCGCATTTTTCAAGCGCAGTTACAATTTGTTGGAAAGAACATAAGCCTTTATCAAAACATTGTTAGTTCATTTTTTCTTAAATAATTACTAATAGAACAACGGTATGGATTCATACAGTATTATTGTGGTATAATAAGTTGACTATACCATATTCTGGAACATTTTTTAACTTTCCGTATGATAGATTGCATGTCTCTAGTGACTTTTTTTCTGCTTCTGAAACAAACTCATTATTTTTTTTATAAAGACGGTGAATTCTTCCAATTGTATTCCTCCTAGACCAATCCCTACTCGTCTTTTTAAATTTTGTTAACACGGTCATATTTAATTAGAATGAATCGGATTCGATTTTCGAATTTCCTAGAAAGGAAGAACATGGTAACATATGATTACGGCAATGGCGTCTACTTAGGTAATCAACAAATCCAATTTATATCCTCCAAAATGACAGAGATAGTGTTTAAAATCGATCCAACATTAACTCGATAATTACTCAACGTCTGGTTAATCGTCAGAAGGTGGTAAGACTTTAAAACTTTGCAATTAAACCGACATTGAATTTCACGTGTTAGCAATGAAAAAGGAAACGAAACGATAATCTAACATGCGCATTCCAACTCGCCTTAAGGATGCACCAATCAGAAATCGCCACGAACTAATTAATATATAATTGAAAACTACATTCCGGCAACCCCCTAATTGACCAACAAGTTTAATATTTTGCGTTCGCAAAAATTGTCTGTTTAAACTAACAGTTCCTTTCTCCAGTTTCTCACTTACTAATACCAAGTATGGATACCCCACGATAACCTCCTAGTACCATCAAGTGTAACACCTTTACATTCCTTTCCTGCATTTTCCCCGCCACTGGTGCTAATAACAAATGCATCCTGGTAGTATTCTAGTAATTCCCCAAGTATAGCTCTTTTACGTTCCTAAAAATTTTATCTTCGACTCTCACGGTTCCCTTCTCTATTTCCTCCACCACTTGTACTAAGAATCCGTAACAATTTTTTCCTTCAACACCTACCCACAACTAGGTCGTCCCAACAACTCCCCGGTATCCTTTTTTCGCCCGCAACAATTTTTTATTCAACCTTTACTGTCCACTAATCCATTTTCTGCTCCACCAGTAAAAAAACAGGACGTTTCAACAACCCAAAGAGTAAACAACCTTTTGTATTTTTCTATGAAGTTTAACCCTTTTGAACGTTTCCGACTTCCTCCACCACCTACACCCCGAACTAAAACGTCTCGACGACCCCCGAGAAATTATTCATTAGGTTTAACCCTTTTTCGCCCGTAACAATTTTTTCTTCAACTTTTACGGCTCATTTATCCATTTCTTCTTCCACCAGTAAAAAACCAGGAGGTTCTGACAACCCTTTTGCATTTTTCTATGAAGTTTAACTCTATTGAACGTTTACCTAAGTTACTTCGACCTTTATGGTTTCTTTCCCTACTTCCTCCACCACCCACACCCCGAACTAGAACGTCCCGGCAGCCCCGAGTAATTATTCATCAAATTCAACCCTTTATGGCCCCTTTTCCCATTTCCTCTTACACCTACATCCCAAACTAGGGATCCCGACGACCACCAGAGTAATTCTTCATCAAGTGCGCCCCTTTAGCGCCCGCAACATATTTTATTCAACTGTTATGGTTAATTTATCTACTTTTTCCTCCTCCAATA